GAGTTGGAGGTTGCTGTGAGCTGTGATGCCACAGCACTCTACCCAGGGGGACAGCTTGAGGCTCTGTCTCCAAAAAAGAAAAAAAAAAAGAATTTATGTTTTTACCTCTGGGACAGGTAACAACAAATAGATGTTATTAATATTTCATCATATTTCAGATGAGCAATAATTTGGTTACATTTATATGTTACTTTTCTTAGATATGTATAAAAGGAAAAATCCACATATTTAAATACCTGAATATACAAGCTTGTAAGATTGCTCCAGATCTGCCAGATTATGATAGAAGACCCTTGGGTTTTGGCTCCTGGTAAGTATGTTCTATTCTTTTATCTGTTGTATTTCATCACATAGCAAATCAAGCAAACTGGATTCTTAATTTTGCCTAAATATTTGATTAAAGGGAAGTAACCTATTTTAAAACTAATCTCAGAATGTTTGCATCAAGTGTGAAAGTGATTATCTAGATTTGACAAAGTGTAATTCTAAGTCAGAGTTTCTCAGCCTTGGTACTATAGACATTTTAGTCAAGAATTAGATAAATTCATTTTTGTGAGGGACTGTCCTATACATTGTAAGATATTTAGCAGCATCCCTAGCCTCTAGCCATCAGATTCCAATAGCACCTTCCTAGTGTGACAAACAAAGATGTCTCCAGACACTATCGATGTCCTCTTAGGTGATCCCCAGTTGAAAACCACTGGTCTGAGTGACTTGAATATTAGCCTGACTTCTGTTATTACCTATCTTAAGGCAATCATTCATATTTTGGGGGCCTCATTTTTCCCACAGGGAGTGAAGAGGTTGGATTTGTTGACTATTAACATCACTTCAGGACTTCTTAGTCTGTGAATCCCTCAGCTGCATAATATATGACTACAAGGTTATCTACTTGGCTATCCCAACCATCTGGAACAATCTTAAATAACAAGAATTAAATTCAAGGGCTTTTAAACAGGCAAGGTAGATGTCCCAGTGCAGGTATAATAGTGTCATGTACTTTACACAAAAGAGAACCCCTCGGGCTGTCTCTTAGAATCTGTTAAATTTTGCTTAAAAGCATAGTTCTAATAAGTTTGCTTCTCAGTTTTCAGATTAAAAACCTTCCATTTGGTAGTTTCTAAAAGCAGACATATTAACAAGTAGAGATGCTCCTAAACTTACAATGGGGTTTTGTTCTATAAACCCTTTGTAAGTTGAAAATATCCTAAGTCAATAATGCATTTAATATATCTGCCCTACCAAACATTGTAGCTTACCCTAACCTACCTTAACTGTGCTCAAAACACATTAGACTGTAGTTGGACAAAATCATCCAACACAAAGCTCATTTTATAATAAAATTTTATCGAATGCCATACTGAAAGTGCAAAACAGATGGTTGCACAGTTTCTAATGAATGTGTATTGCTTTCATACCATCCTAAAGTTGAAAAATAGTAAGGTAAATCATCATAAGTCAGGGTCCATCTATATAAAAATTAATTTGAATTGGCCCACGTGTGTCCACTCAGGGTTGGGCAGTACATGCAGGCCTCCCCTACTTCCTGGGCAGCAGGAGAAAAAATAAAATAATTTATAATTTAAAGAAAAAAAGAGAGGCTGGGTGGGGTGGTTCACAACTATAATCCTAGCAGTTTGAGAGTACAAGGCAGGAGGATCTCTTGAGGCTAGGAATTCAAGACCAGCCTGGTCAACATGGTGAGACCTTGTCACTACCAACCAAAAAAAAGAAAGAAAGAAAAATTAGCCAACCATGGTGACAGGTGCCTGTAGTCTTAGCTACTAGGGAGGCTGAGGTGGAAGATGGCTTTAGCCCAGGAGTTTGAGGCTGCAGTAAGGTATATCTGCATCACTGCCATTCCAGTGCAAGCAACAGAGCAAGACCTCGTCTAAAAAAGTAAATAAATGATATTCATATAGGGGTTTATTTTGTTTTTAACTTCTATATGACATTTGTATGGGGTTTATTTTGTTTTTAACTTCTGTAAAGCTTTTACTTTATGTGAAAGGTAGGCAAGTAGGAAATGATTTATCCTCATTTTACAAAGGTTGAGTGACTTGTTGGAGCTAAAATTGGTAAGTGGTAAAACTGGCTCTTGTTTTGTAAAATCCAGATACATTGTTTGGATTACCTTTACCTTACTGGTGCATTGTGACAGCAATGAAAAAACTGTGTATACAACTATAGCAGAATATGTGGAATTCAGAATTGAATACCAGAAGAACAGTGTTTTAAATTTTTACCATTGAAAGTTGCTTTTCAACTTAGGCAGGCTTATTAGATAAAATGTTAATAGCTCATTTTTTAAAAATAGGATTTATCATGTTTTAGATTTCTAATTAAGCTAACTTTTTCAAGTATATTTAAGAATAAGCAAAAACTAAAACTTAAAAAATATATAGAAGAACATCTGTATTGTGACTTGGGATAGGCCAGGATTTCTGAGGACACAGAAAACAGTAATAATAAAAGAAAGAAATGATAAATTAGATTTTATCAAAAGTAGAAGCATTTACTCATATTAAGAAAATGAATAGGCAAACTACAGACTGGGAGAAAATATTTGCAAAACATGTATGACAAAAGACTTATGTCCAGAATATGTAAAGAGTGCTGCAACTTAATAATAAAGAGACAACCCAATTGAAAAATGGACAAAAGGCTCAGTGCCTGTAGCTCACTGAGTAAGGGTGCCAGCCACATACACCAAGGGTGGCAGGTTTGAGCCAGGCTCAAGCCTGCTAAACAATGACATCTGCAAACAAAAATAGCTGGGCGTCGTGGTGGGCGCCCATAGTCCCAGCTACTTGGGAGGCTGAAGCAAGAAAATCGCTTAAGCCCAAGAGTTGGAAGTTGCTGTGAGCTGTGACACTATGGCATACTAATACTGTGTCTCAAAAAAAGAGAAAAGAAAAGAAAAAGAAACTTGAACCTTTACAGAGAGATATATAAGTGGCCAGTAAGCACACCAGAAAGTGCTCAACATCATTAGTCACCATGGAAAGGCAAAGTAAATCACAGTGAGATACCACTTGATACAATACATGCACTAGAACAGTGGTTTTTAA